ATATGTACATTAGTCCAATTATAATATAAAATTTAAATAACTGCACGATAAACCGCCATGCATTAGTAGATTTTCAATATCAGTGTGAATTTGAAAATATTGTGTGTACTTTTTAATAATAATGTGTATTTGTAAAAACACTGAATAATTTACATACGAAATTAGTTATTTTAATCGTCTAGTTAACATAATCTTTACCGCGTATCATATTTATGTGGTCAATTTCACAACAATATTCAGAAATAATGCAATCTTCAACACGTGTAAAAGTTTATGCGTTTTAAATATCTTTATAAATGTTGATTATTATTATCGTAATACCCACCTATATAGTTTCAAAAATAAATTAAACGTTGTTTAATTAATCAAACAACAGATTTTTATGTTTTTTAAAGCCGTAACTATTTATTGAATGTGATTTTGATAACAGTTTGTATCAAATCATTTAAATTTTAAATAAAAGTGACTATATAATCCAATAATTTAAGAGTCATAGTATTTTTTAAATTTAAATTAACTATGTAGTTAGCATACTAAGTACAGGGTCGACAAAACGTTTTGTAAAAATCCAAAGCTCGTAAAGAATGTGTCTGAAGAAAAAAAGCTAAATTACTTTTAAGTCTTATATGTATTAGTATTCTATTATCAGGGCTGTGAATTTAATGCATTTGCATGTGTTTTTTGCTACACTTTATAAAAAAATGGATTCGGCCAAAATTTGTTTTGACTTATTTGTAGTTCAAATACTAAATTTAATTTTGCATATTTTTGCATATTTCATGGGTTAGGGTATATAAATACATGTTTTAATAATTTTTTTTGTTTAAATGCTTTTTTTTCGTAATATTTACATTTTTTCGGTCAATCTTATAGTATAAACTATAATTTTTATAGTTTTATCGAAATTATTCTATTTTTACAAACAGTACTCAACAAAAAAAGGGTTTCAAATTATGTAAAATATTTCAAAGATATTAACTGGCGAAAAAAATGACGTAGATTTAGATATACCAGAAGATTTAACCAGTAGCGACATGACGTATTTCAAGTTTGCCCCAATAACTTCGTCAGACGTAGAACGCTCTTTTTTTTATATAAAACTTTGTTGGCATTGTTGGCACCAAACAGGAGGTCTTTAAAGTTCGAAAACCTGAAGAAATCATTGGTTGTTCAATGCAATAACTACTTTAAAAGTAAAATATAAAATTTTAATTATATTTAATTATATTACTTATATAATTTATATTTCTTTTATAGATCTTGTATACGACGAAGACCAAGACTATAGTTAAGATCAATAACTCATATACTTATACCAAGAAGTAAAAATACTAATATTTAAACTAAAATTAACAAAAAAATTATACTAATGAAAAAAATAAAAATTAAAGTTTAATTTTTGTAGTTTTTTTTTTGCATATTTTAAGAATTTTTAGAGCATATTTTGTCAGATTTTAGTCCATATATGCATGCATATTTAATAGTTTTTAAGTGCATTAAATTCACAGTCCTGTATATTATGTTTATTACTCGTCATATATAGTAAATAGCAGTAATAATAACTCACTATAGTTAAATATCTCATATTATAGATCTTTAGAAATGTATGTATGACTGTCATTTATACTTTTAATGTTAGTGATTGTGCAGGGTGCTAGATGATTTAAACGAAGATTTTGTGCGCACCTATACATTGGCGTAGGCAAGATTTTGAAATAGATAGGGGAGAGGGGGTTTAGTATAAATTAAACCAAGATTTGTACAGTTTTCATAATATGTAAATAACACATTTATTAGGTCAAAAATGTAAATAGACGGGGGGATTGGGGTTTTTAACACCCACTCACCTGGCTACTCCACTCTTCATGTATAAATGACACATTATAATGACGTGCCTTTTATTATTTATCGAACATACCATATGTATATAATATACGTATGTTTCGTGAATGTATTATGATGATATTATAACCGAATCATTTTGACAACACATTATAGTCACACTCGTTGGACGAGAAATAAAATATTATCTACTTTTGTCGCTAAGATATTTGGTTATGATATTTTGGTTATGATATTTTACACTATACACGGTAGGTACATCTACAGACCCATTGTTGTTTTTTGTGATTTGTAAAATTATTATAATCATAATTATTGTTACCTATTACCTACTTGTAGTCACAAACTACCTTGTTTACTATACGTAAGTACCTACTGCCTATACAAATACAAGATTTTCGAACATTTATAAACAATCTATAAAGTGTAACTGGCACGAGACGTAGGTATACCTACTTTTCTTTTTGATTGAGTGGTACAATTTCCATGTTTATTTAAATTCTGCAAATGAAAAATATTTTAATATTACTTATGCGTCATCTCAGTGAACTGGACACACATCAACATAATATTATCGTTGCATACTTGCATTCTGTTAACCACACACAATTATACCTTCATCAATATTATTAAGTTTGAAATTAAATTTAAAAAAATTTCAATATAGTTATTATACAATAGGTATTTTTTGTGTCTGGCTCTGAACCGAAACGATAAAACGTCCATTGACGATAGTGTACCTAATAATATTACACGACAAGACGCGCCTTTCCAGACAGAGCGGCGCGAGCGGAAATCATTGCCGGCTACCGGACGACTAGACGGCGACTGTTTGTCTACGCCAATAATTATTGTCTCGAACCATTGATTTTACTGCCCGCAAAAGTTTTCGACATGTCCCGCAGTCCCAATTCATTTCGCGCAAAAATGTTCGTCGTCCTGTTATCGAGTTCATTATTATTGTTCGCCAAAATAATATTAGATTTAAATGTTATAGTTTACAGCTCGAGGCGGCAAGGCATAAGGCGATTCGATAATTTGTGTTTAAATTCCTTGAAGTACTATAATACGCACGAGTAAAAAAAGTCCACAACACTTTTTGTGAACTCTTGAAGTGTAAAAAGTATGGCTCATTGGTAGGTACCTAGTTTGACAGTATAGCCGCTGTAGTAGTTCTACGTGATTACTGTGAGCCAGCAGCGGTCAAGTATTATAGTCCACAATCGTAAATCATAATAACATTATGGTATTATACCTATGTGTGTTAAAGTGTCCGTCCACTCTGGAAATTACCATACCATTAAAATTAAACTTAAACTCTCAAGTGTCTAATTAGTTATAGATACTGAGCTGAGTGATGTATTGATTTTACATATTTAAAATGATGTGTTTTTTTCCCGTCTGCCATCATCTTATGAGGCTGTAAAAATGATTCAATTTTCTACTTTGTAGGTGGTTTCGGGTAGAAAATCGGATCCGCTGCCACTTAAAATATCAATTTTGTAATTTAGGGGGGGGGGGGCAAGGTCAAAAGTAAAAATATCCATGTGCTTTGCAAAACAACCTGACATTCTGGCCACTCATATCATTAGTACTCTTTTGGTTATTGGTATAGCTTTATTAAAACTTTGTTATTGTTAATTGTTACTTAATTGCTATTATCTACACATGTATTATTGTGAACTGCCGATTGGCGTAAAATATATATAAATAATTTAAGAGAAAGTAAAATTTTTACAATACACCAATTTTTTTTCTCTTCTAGTACTACTTTTTTGTACCTAGTATTAATTATATAAGAATTTAAAGCTACCTCATTCATTTTGTGTAAAATATTTCTTTACTTAATAATAATCATAGTACCTTTTACAATTAAAACTTTTATTAAATAATAATAATTCAAACTATAGGAAAGTTGAGGATTTTCGATATTTTTCAAAAACAAAAAAATTTCGGTCAATTTTTTTTTTAAAAACAGTAAGCTGTAACGGCAAAATGGATAAGGTTAACCAGCAAAATATGGTATACATAGGTACCTACCAAAACCTATTTTCGTTTGGGCTTTTTTAAACTGCTATTGTAATGGACGTTTATAGAAATAAAATTAAAAATACTGAAAAATTAAAATGTCTGTGAACAGTTTAAAACATTTTGAAAATATAAGTACCTATAAGAAATGATAAAATAATTATTTTATGTATCAACGCAATGGGTGATAATATTTTGAACATTCTAATACAAGCATTCATTGGAGACCGCATGTATCTAGACTAATTTTTTTTAGAGTTACGCCAAAAACTAAATCGATTTTGTCAATAGCCAATTTTTTAGTAATATTTCCCGCCGTCCCACAATATTTTTTTTGATTTTCAAAAACGAAAAACGTTGAGCTTTTCACCGGGAATTTCAAATTTTGACCTCCCGGACGCATCAACCACGTCAACCGGAGAAGTAACCGTAGTTGAAAATCGAGGCATAACTTCGACTATCACTTTTCGTGCACTCGGACACGAAAAACCACAAAAAAAACCACACGCACATCGTTGTAAAACGATACGTTGTCCGCTCGGAATCTAAAAACTCGAGAAACGACCAAAAAAGTACGTCGTTTTTCAGTAAACGAACGAAACCCGCAATCGATTTCAAAAGATGTCGGATACAACATACATAGGTACCCGAAACTCGGGTGGGCACATTCAACGGGTGTCGTACTGTTCGTCCGACGAGAGCACCGAGACACCGCCGCCGTCATTACAACGATATCGTTAGCACGCGCGCATACGTGTTTCCGGTGCGTTTATAATAAATGACGTACGGAATAATATTATGATGTACGCACGACGACCATCACAGTAATAGTAATAATAATAATAATAATAATAATAACAATAATACACGCAATGCGGACGCGCGGGCGATACACGGTCTGATAACTCGGAAGTCAATTAGACGACGCGCGCGGGCGGTTCGCGGCGGCGGTCGAAAGGGGCGGCGGCGGCGGCGGCGGTCGTCGGCATTCGCTGGAAAACGGTTTCACCGCCGTTTGTTTTTTATGTCAGTTGGTCAACGCGGCGCGCGAGAGACGGCGCCGCCGCTCGGATCCGTCCGCGGAAGGGACACCGCCGCAGAGGCACCCGACCGCCCCGCCTCCCGGCTCCCGGCTCCTCCGCCCGCGCACCAGAAAACCGTCTATTATTTTCGCACGGTGCTCCCGACGGGGGGCGCGCGCGGCCTGTACGCGAGCGCTACACTCGCCGTGGTCGTCACGCCGCGCGCGCCTATATAAGGTTCCGGCCACCCGGTCGGAACCATCACATCCACACCGTCGACGGTCCAGTCCGAACACGACGACAGTACACTCGGCACTCGCTAAAATCCTGTAATCCGCAGCGTCATGTCTCCTCCGTCCGTCGCACTGTCGTCCGTTTGCGTAGCCCTGGCCGTCTGCGGTCTCGCCGCTTCCGTGCCCGTGGAACACCAACAACAGCAACCGCAACAACCGCAACAGCAGCGGCAAGAGGACGGCGGCGCCGCGGCTTCCGCCGGATTCGGCACGGTCCTGTGGTCGGTGCTGGACGACTGTTTCGGCGACGTGGACGCGGCCGGACCGGCCACCGTGTGCCTCAAGTCCAAAGCGCTGACGGCCCTCGACCGGGCCCTGGGCAAGCCCGCCTTGACCCTCACAGACGGCGTCACGCTGACCGCCAGGGCTGGAAAGTCGCTGGCCGTCGACCCGCAGGCCGACCGGGCAGACCGCGCCGCCCTGGACGCCGCTCCGGACGCCGACAGCAAGAACGCCCTGCTCGACGACATGCTCGCCAGCCGCATGGACAGGCTCATGTCCACCAGGACCATCGCGCTGGACGGAGCCGGCCAAGAAGGTGAGCGAATTCGACGCGCGTCACCTATGCTGTTGCGACGGTATTTTGTAAACGCTTCGGGCTTTAAGTCGAGTGGGTGCTAGGAGTGTATAATAATAAATTGTTCCTTCACATGCAACGTGTGGGTGGGCCACTTGATAATTAGAATCTTTTTCACGATTTTCACGAGACCAATGTGACATATATATATATTATATAAAAACCCTTCACTAAAAAAACGACGGCGAGAAAGAAAGGTAATAATACACAATAGCTGTGATCTATTCAAGTGTTTTCCTTAGTATTTTCGAAAAGTTGAAACAGTTTAGTAAATATTTGAAATTACATAGGTACCTAATTTGAGATTTCATAACACAATGACAATTATTTTTTTTAAATTACTTTTTTTCAATGACGATAAACAATTTATTTTTTATTTCGAAGCAGAATATTTTGAGTAGTATTTCGATGTATGAATATCAAATTTCCAATGAGCTGTCATTTTTTTGTTTCGTTTAAACTTTGTAATTACAATTAGTTCTGACAATTATTAAGTAGGTACAACTTAAACTTACAAGAAGATGAGTAGTAATTTGTCAAAAGTTTTTGAATTTTAAGTTTTGATGAGCAGAGCACAGAGTGGTACTGTGCTATTAAAATGTTGGTCCACTATTCCGCTCATCTGAACTTTAATCACTTATTACTACTTAATTTTTTAAAAACTTAAGTTTTCATTTCAAAATAGCAAAAAATACGTACAAATGGTAGGTAACAGTAAACAATTTTAAGAATATAATTTTTTCAAGAACATTGCTCTGTAATGACATGATATTATTGCCACATAAGTTAACATTTTTTCGAGACAAACGTTCCTGAAAAAACGTCACTCAAAGGCGAACTACTCAATGCCTTTTTAATATTTTACTATTCGTAGTACATCGTACCGAAGTCGACTTCGAAGTAGTTCGATCTTGGAAATTCAGTTCACACGGACGTATAATATGGGTACGTTTTATCTTTTGGCACGTCCGTGTTTGTGGGTATCGTCACACCGGTGCCGCCACGTATATAATTATGTAAATAAATAATTGAACATCATAATACCTATGTTACTTATAATATATTGTATGATGTATAGGCACGCGTCGATATGCACCGTCGACATTGCGATTTTTGTTGAACTCGAATCGATCGTCCGTAAGACTTAGTTTGGGAGAAATCGTATTAAGGGAATCACATTGTAAAATATCCCGACTATATCGTTTTCACACTTCACAACTCGGCGATTTCAACGCCGAAGCTATAAATGAACATTTAATATTTCGTATGATATCTACTCGAGACCCGCCGTCATGTTGGCCACGGTGCCGTTGATCGTTTCGTGGCGACGGCGTGTGGATCTTATTGTATGTCATGAGCTCTCATCATTACTTACCCTTTAGACAGTATACGTTAGGTGCTATACTGCGCACTATACGTATGTATTACCGTGATTCGTTAGTTTATAGAACGGTCTTAGAAATTCCGAGAAACCTCCCTTTCACGACTTAGGGGTAGTATCGGGTACCTATGGATATTATTGATTCTGCTATAAACCTATAACCCCGTAACCCACATTGCCCCGCAATATAATATTAAGTTTCAGATGTGGTGACAATGGCAAAACGCCACTCAGTAGTATGACGGAGTTCTTTTGTATTGGTCGTAGGATCGTAGGGTTTTTTTTTTGGAAGTGTAGACAGTCTCCATGACGTGGACGTGAGTCGAAAATCATTAATACAGGTATAGTAGCTTATGACAGGATTAAATTATAAATATTCTAATTTGATTCCAGTACTCTGTGCTAATAGAAGGAAAATTAAGGTGGTATTATTGGTCCATCAATAGGAAAATAGTTCGCCATAGAGTCTTCGCACAATCAAACGATAATTTATATAAGTCAATTGGGTAGGTACCTACCAAACGGTCGACACGAATCTAATTCAAAAATATTACCTGGTTACCTCTGAAATGTAAATATTTAATTTTTATATTTGTCATCAGGAAAGGGGTATTTAGACATGTTTCGAGGGAGAGGGTGGGCGACTCGATTTTCCCTCTACACCACTCGGTATAAGATAATGGTCAGATTAAAAGATTTTTCAGAATATTTAATCCACAAGAAAATCAAATCGTCTATACTTTACCTATAATATTATCATTGTTATACGATAAACGGATAGATCGCACCTTTGGCATTCCGATATGATACCACTGGAAATACAGATGCACGTAGGGGCAGATCGATCCCCCCACGACCACACCCCCCAAACGAAATTCGCCCCAAAGCGACGGAAGTCGAGTATATTGTACCTATCCTAATCGGTGGGTTTGTCGTGCCGTTCGCAGGTCGCAAGAAGAAGGACAAGGCCATGCAACAGGCCATGATGATGGCCGGCATGATGGCCGCGGCCGTCATGGGCCCGATGGCGTTCAAGATCTTGGCGTTGATCGCCGGAAAGGCGCTGTTGCTGAGCAAGATCGCACTGGTGTTGTCCGGCATCATAGCGCTCAAGAAGCTGCTCCAACCCCAACAGGGCGGACACGAATCCGAGTCGGTGTCCCATCACTACGGCCGGAGCTTTCACAGACCCGAAGCCCACGACGTGGCTTACTCTGGCCAAAAGCCGCAGTAGACCTCATCGGCGGACGGCGTGATCACCGGAGCGTCGCGTTTTGATATTAAGCGTGTATTTACGTGTTAGACTATTAATTTATTATTTATTATTTTTATTTTGTACCTAAGTCTGGCCGAGTTGTTCGTACGACAGTCGAAACCGGTCTGCGAATGAAAACTGTATTCGTTCGAATGTCGCACTAGCGTCTTTTGAAAACTATTTAACCATTGTCATACAACAACTGTATTATTACCGATGTTTATAATAATATCATTATTGAAACTTATAGACCTGATGAATGAAAAAAAAAATCAAAATGTTTAAGATTCCGAAAATGTCTAGTTATTTTGTCTGTGTGTTGTCACCTAGCCATTTATTGTCACTATTTTATGGTTAAAAAAAATTTCATCTGCTTTTTATAATATTTTAGCCGCTAAAAACATTACCGCGTTAACGCATTAAACACGATATGACGTCTAGAACACCTTACTTCCTTGTTATGTCCTGTCCTTTGGTTACCCTCACCAGTACTTATATTTAGTTACGAATTACGATTTTTCATACATAAGGAGTTTGTAATTTGAACCACTGCGGGTGTTCTTAATTTGCACCAATAGTGTGTAATTGGCAAAACCGTTTTTAGTTGAAAATAGTGTTTGTAATTATTGCACAAAATGAGTATCTATCTATGTAGGTATTTGATTATCGAATATTTGATGGTCAAGACTTGCCAAATTGATTATTCGTCGGTATCCTCATTGACTCACATAGGTTTGATAAACAATTTTAGTTTTCCAATATAACTATTTTTAAAAATTCGAAAATTATTGATTTTTGTTTTTATCAATAATTGGTTTTTACAGTTTTTTTGATTCTAAAGAATTTATTTATTCTAAATTTATTTATTATGATACACTCGTTTTAAATAGTTGTTTTCACAAAACATCTAGATTATTTGATTGATTTACTTCATAACTGCCATACATTTTTATATAATTTAAATATATATTTTTATTTATATTGTCCTAAATGTAATAATGATAGTCGACAGATTATTATTTTATTTTTAGTATAGGTAATAGATATGTTTTATATTATGTTGTCCGCAAAGATTATGTGTTCTAATGGTTTTTGAATTTTCAAAAAATGATAGCTTCTTAAATTCAAGGAGTTTTAATAGTTTTTCACTTTATATATCTTGTAAAGGAAATGTTGATGGCTATTTATACAGACTTTAATTATATTTTTGTCTGAAATAATGCAATTATTATTTATTATAATAATATGTTTGTCATATTATATGACTGTTATAACTTATAACATACCTAGTTTTTAAGTTAATACTGACTTACCCTATAATATTATAAAAAGGCAAAACTAACCCACTCAAAATATTATGTGTCTTAAGCTTCACACATCTCAGTATTCTACTATCGAAAGTTGTACGTAAGTATACTAGGGAAATAATAATCGATTACAATTTTGGTGCAAATTACAATTTCTATTTCTTACTACCTGAAAATATGAAAATTACCAATCTTTATTTTAATGAAAATTACTCGTATTTTATATACTTAGGGTCAATTTTTGTGTGAATTGACTACAATTATAGATATTATATTGTTGATTTATTTATTGCCTGCAGCACCTACATAGGTAGTTACGATTGTTGATATAATATTATATTGTCGATTTTTATTTATTTATTATCCGTAACTACTGTCGGTACATAAATTGTGTATGGAATTATAATTCATTGCGTTACATTAAAATACGTTTAGAAACCGGGAATTCGGCACACTCGCAGCATGAGCTTTTCTAACCAGTTTTTATATTAATTAATTTAATCACATTGGTTAAGTTTATAAATCATGTAAAGACGAGCCTGTTGATATGGTATTTGTTTTATTCTCGTAATAACTTTGACAGTCCATATAGGTCTATAGGTATCAAATAAATATAGTTTAATGGTATCAAGAATATCATGTCACAATCAATTACAGAAACAGCAGTCATTTAGTTGGCAAATACCGTTGAATCTCGTATATATTGTGCACTGGGGGCTGGGGCCTATAGTAAAAAAATAACTATACATAATTATCATGTATTTAATTTTTTTTTTAATTGTCACCACAAAACAATAAATACATTTTATATTGCAGACATTTACCTACCGTTGTTAGGATAGGTTAATAAAAAACACAATTTCGTTGGTAGGTACGTATGTTACTGATGTATTTTGCACCAGACCACTCAATGGATTTGCAGTTAATTTGAACCCTTAAATCGGCCACTGGCCACAATGCAGTCACGTTTCCTGTCGTTGGTTCCATGAAAATAAATATCAATATAAAAGCACGTGTATCGCTGGTTGTCAATACAACCAAAATAATACATTCATTCATATTTAAATTTTGAAATGCTTTTTTAATCACAGAAGGTTTAAAATTATTCCTTAATACAAATTAAATCGAAATGCCTTATAGGCCGATTAATAAACGTTTGCCAGCGACCTTGGACATACGTCTGCAACACAGATATTCAGACATCGCGACTGAGCTTTCGCGCACAACACATTTCAATAAAATAGAAGTGCTCCGATTACTACAAATGCACTACATGCTAACAAAGGACAACGCGAAACCTATGAAGAAGTTGAACTTCATACAGTTCATGGACGTTTTTTTAGGGGTGAGAAACGTAGATTCCGTAGATAAAGTTTATCTGCTTTGTTGCGAAACGAACAAGGAATACTTGACTGGTCCCGAGTTCGTCAGGGTATTGTCGATGCTGTTAAAGGGGACCCTAGCCGACTTGATTAACTTCTGCTTTGAAGTCTACACGGAAATGATCAGGTCACCGAGGTACATAAAAAAAGAGGACGTGTTAGTGATGGCCAGAAGGAACAGCATGAAAATGTGTAAATTAGTCAACATGGAGGAGTATGATCAGAGTTTCGTCGATTTCGTCATGACCGAGGTGGACAAGGATCGCGATAATAGGATTTCGCTGGAGGACTACCGCAAAGCTGTGCACGAAAATGTCGCCTGGTTACAGTTCTTGGGGCAAATCCTTCCGTCGTGCACCCAAAAAGAGATATTTCTGCGATTATTTACGGACCGACCGTACGTCAACAATATAGAATCTACAGCTGCAGAGATGACTCGGAAAAACAGGGAGAGTATTGCCAGAATGACTCTGCTGAAATCGGCAATTAGCCAAACCGAAAACACCGCCAGTAGTACGTCTTTTTCCAGCAATTCCACGTGTTTAGCGGTTAACCGCGACTTGACTCATATGGCCAAAAAACCTGAAATAATATCGGATGGAAATTATTTAACATTATTTTAACGAATTATAAATGTGTAGTTACTATACAAATAATAAATATACATTTTAATAATAATAAACCGCAGTAAAGCAATTTATGGCTATAATATAGTTAGTTAATTATACTTATCAGTTTATCGTACCTATCTGATATTACCTATAAACCTACGTAATAGGTGCCTGCAGCCTGCAGGTATTGTGTACTTAATTTTATTCTATAGCCTGCTTAATTCTAGGGCGCAAGTTAACGAAAAGATTTTATTTTGTGCACAAGATATTTATTTTTTTTCAATAATTTATCTTACACTAAAGAGGCATATTTCCAATTGATTTGAAAAACTGTCACATATCTTAGCAAGACTCCCAGTTATAGCTAAAAGTAGATTGGTCGAGCCTAATAAATAAAGGTATACACTTTTGACTAGATTAATCTAGTTATAACGTGATCTATTTTCGATTCACTTAGATATAAATTTTGAAAAAAGAATTTTGACTCAATATAATAAGTAGTGGTACCATTTTCCACATGGGTGTATAATATAACTACTGTCATGCTACAATTAATTTGAAACTAATTACTAATAGCACCTACTTAAGTTATAAATGTTAATACTTGTAAATTCAAAAGGCAAATTCAACAAATGTCTGCAAACCACATAATATATCAAGGTGTAGCAATATAATTATCAGACCCGGATTGTATTCCCCCATTTGACTATAATATTATGTCCAAACCGCGAAACGCGTGTGCTACACAAAATTAATTTTAATAAGATTTCATTTCATGAACATTTAACCATCACGAAATGTAAAACGAAAGGTTTAATGAAACAAATGACATTATACGTACTCACGTGTTCAAATGGTAGATTTAAAAAACCGATATCACGACGTGGAAGATGGGTCACGACTATTCAGACTTGGACTTTCAAATCGTACAAAGATCCTAACCCCTTTCAGCACTAACCTACATTGCTGTGTAGTTATACTATTTAAATAACTTTATTATTTACTGAACATTATTTTCTTTTTATACCAATCTAGACATTTGTGTGTAGAGAAGTTATCGCCCTCATTAAATTCTAAATATATATAAATATAGTTCTCTTCATGTATGGTAATCAGCCGGAGAAGGAGCTTCATCTCCTCAAATGTTTTCTATCCTCCAAAATAGACGTATTAAATATTATTAATATTTTTAGTTTAATAAATGTTTTATTATATTTATAATAAATTACTAGGGGGGTGTGTAATTAGTGTTTCTGTTAAAAATGTTTGTATTGATATGTTTGTGGGCGGTGAGGAGGCCATATAGTCCCCATTTCCCATTCACAAATATTTACAATGATCTCCGGCTATGATTCCTTATACATAGTACATACCTACATATAATATATTGTGTGTATCAATAATATAAGTGATAGAGTATACGTCATACAATTACCCACTCTACAGAATTTCTAAAATGGAAACATTTTCAAATATTAAACGGTTACTGTGAATCCTCTAGAAAAATCTACAAGCATGTAGTAGTTCTGAAAAATACAAAGAAAATTGTTAAAAATACAAGACAAGCACCTAGTTTATTCATATTTTGGCCTGGTCTACTATTTATACAATTCGAATAGTTTTTTTGCTTTCAGTAGTTAATATAATTTAAGTAGTAAAACATTAAAATGTAGATTGAGTAGACGATTTCTATGTAAGAAGAAAATAGTAATTATTCGACACGTTTTTGAGAAAATATAATATTTTTGGTAAGTATACGTTTCTTTTTAAACGGTTATGTCTATTAATTTAGTGAAAATTCTAAGTACATGTATAATTATATAAATTTGTAAATAATTAAAAACATAATAATTGTTAAAATCATTTTTTTGGCAATGGTATTTAAAGTGTAATCTTCTATTTTTTTTTTTTGTATTTAATTAGAGCATTAACAACATTGGTCATTAGTTAACAATAATATATTATTAATGTTCATTGTCGACACATCATTTTGCATTTTATTCTGTTTTTATGAAAAAAAAAGTAGGACGAACTAAGTGCAGCTGTCAGGTCAATGATTCCTATCACAGCTATGCGCCTACTCGTCTCACATCGCTCACCAATCAGTGGTAGTTAGAGCGCTGGATAAATTTTTATTTATGAAACACAACAAAACAGTGATAAATTATTTAATTTGAATACCGAATTTGAAAAAAAAATTATTAATATTATACAATATGTAAATTATAAAACTAACCGTTCCTACTAATTAAGTCTACTCCGTAAGATAGCTTGTTGTACAGTGGCATATGTCACCGCTGGTATCTTATAAAAAAAAAACTACCCAATGATTTAAAATTTAAAATCCAATCATTTTGAGATTTTTCTAAAAACCCCAACATCAAGAATGGAGTTTTAGTATTTTACAGTAATTTTGATACAATATTAATAGGTATTATACTAACCACATCAATTTTGTATCGATTATAAATAAGTTAGAAATAAAACATGAAATCATCGCCCGAAAAGAATCATCAGAAAAAGAATACCAGAAAAGAATAACACATATTTTGAGAGTTATATTTAAAATGTAGTTAGAAATATGTCTAAACTCTAAACTATAACTAGGAGAAACTTTGATGATTTAAACCTTAGTCTTTTAAACATATAGATAAAAAAAAATTAAGACATAATATCGTATGCGAAAAATATTGTGTAGCACACGATAATATTATAATTTATAGTTACCATGGTCCATGACACAAACACCTGTCAGCGTCACAGTGATTTATGTCATTGCGTATTTTAGCACTAAGCCACTAAATGCTATACATTTTGAAAGTTGGTATATTATAATTTTTTTATGGGCTTACTTATTGTTTCATCTAATTGTTATATATATTTATTGTTTTTTTATATTATTTAATTCTGTATTACTGTAATTCAACATATTTTGTCATATATCCAACTGTATGTTTTATATATTTGAAAAACCAAAAATATGAAATTTCGTTAAATATACATAATATTTTGTAAATTAATAAGTTTTCTTAAAAATAAATAGACTTACGAGAATTTACGTAACATGCTTTTTTATAGACAAGGCTAAAATCTATAATTTAGTTCTTTACATGTTTTCGATAAATACAATACCTTCTGAATTAAATAAAAAAAAACAAAAAACTACCCTCTTTTTCCAAATTTCAACACTAATGCGGCACCAGAAGGGGTTGAGTGAGGTCATCTAAATTTTACACAAATGACTTACTCATATAACTTAACAAATTAAGGGGGTACTGTATCAAAAAAATCACATTGAAAAAATAAGGACCACTCTAATATATAATATATATTATTTATATCATCAATAGTTGTTGTATAATGTAATTATATACATTTTATAATTCAATTTTTTGTTTTTTGTTTAGGTTAGGTCTTAACGTAATATACCTACATAATATACGAATGAATAGAGGAAAACAATAGGAAAACATGTTTATGAAATATCTATTTTTACTCATACATGTCTCTATGGATTATATCTGACTGAACTTTGGGTGTATAAAAACTAAATGCCTCATGTGATACACTTTACTTTATTCAAGGTCCGGTACATATACTAAAACACGAAGTGCTGAACATAATATAGGAACTCATATCAGTCACATCAAACACTAAATAGAGGACTGTAAAAATAATTATTTAAAATGTTGTTGTGCATCAATAAAGATGGATCAACATTGCATTTTATAATTCTGTTGTATAAGTCTGTGTTTTAAATAAAATATCAAGCAAAGATATTACCTGCAGAAGTATAATGTTAGTAATTTGGATTGGTAAAATTATTATTACAAATTTTATACATTTTTTTTTTGCTACAAAAAAAAAAAAATATTAGTTTTTGGACTCATAAGTTATATGTACATAAATTATGTTTTTCTGTTCTAAACACCTTTTTTTGTATGTAATTTAAATCATTTGGTTTAGACATTTAAATCAAAAAGCAATGTTTGATTAATTTGTATGTTTAAAAAATGTTGGAAAATTGTTGCGCTAAGTATAATAACAGTTGTACATTTTCAGTCACCCATCATGAGGTATTTTGATGGGTTATAAATTATCATTTATTATAACTGTTATAAGAAAAGGGGGAAACTGCAAATGAATAATTCTTTTTAATCGTAGGTGTATACGGTCAACGAGCAAAACACGATATTATCCAGCTGTTGAGTGCCACACTCAGTACACACCTACTTACAAAAACATATGGAATTTAATCCTCATCAGAATCACATGTTTACATCCGTGGCGCGCTCATGAAAACCAAAAAACCCATCAACCGGTCACGGTTATACGCTCTCAGTTTTCCAGCGGCCGAGCGCACAGGGACAGCACATACGAATCGTATGAAACTCGTCCATTACTTTCACGGTGCTCTGACCAGACGACCAACAAGTGTGTATATAAGCTCCAGGTGTCCAATTAGCAACCATCACATTCACGCCGACCACTGACGAGTCCTCCAGATTCGCACCGTTAGCACACCAAAATTGTAGAATAGGTACCAAGACCGCGGTACACGAGGAAATTCGTCAATCACAGTTTTCGTCCGACGAAAGACGGTAACGTTTTCGTTTTCATTTTTATTATACTTACCTTATTTAATTTTCAAAAAAAAAAAAAAACAAACAAAAAAACGATGTTTTCTCCCATCGCGATTTCTTTCGTTTGCGTCTCTCTGGCCGTTTTCGGTTCCACCGCCTCCGTGCAACCACAACAAACACAACAACGGCAAGAGGACGGGTTTGGCGCTGTCCTATGGTCGGTCCTGGAAGACTGTTTCGGCGACGTCGGTTCGGTCACCGTTTGCCTCAAATCCAAAGCGTTGACGGCCCTTGACCGGGCTCTAGGCAAGCCCGCCTTGACCCTCACAGACGGCGTGACGCTGGCCGCCAGGGCTGGAAAGTCGCTGGCCGTCGACCCGCAGGCTGACCGGGCCGACCGCGCCGCCCTGGACTCCGCCCCGGACGCTGACAGCAAGAACGCCATGCTGGACGACATGCTTGCCAGCCGCATGGACAGGCTCATGTCCACCAGGACCATTGTGCTGGACGGTGTAGACCAAGAAGGTGAGAGAACGCGATTACTATATTAATTAATATCCAAATCATAGCCCAAAAAATATTAAAGACATTTGAGTCAGGTTTCCACTATTATAGGGACCAACAATTAATAATTTTGGAGGTTCTCTCTGGACCGAGACAGTTTTTGAAGGTCACCAAAAATGTATGCACTTACACGTTTACCCGAAAAAATTAAAGGCGAAATCAAAAAGTGTAATTAAACTTTTGGAAAACCTCTTTTCATTTATTATAAAAAACAATTATTTTAAAAGGTCATGTCTATATGGTTTGATAATGTTTATCACAGTGCATGAGCAGTTTTGTAAAGTATTTGAGTAAACATATTCAAATACTATTTTTACATTCAAATAGGTAATTCAAATACTTTATCAATGCAGGTACTTGTCTGTATTTAAAACCAAATAATAATTTTGAGATACTTATTCTTTTTTTGTATATAGGCAGGTATAATTGGTATAATATTGTCTACTTTAATTTTAATCACGAAAATAAAAATAAAAATTGAGAATATAATTTAATAAAATAGTATATATTTTTACTTTCAATTAAACTCAACGAAAAATTCAAATACTTTGACAAAAAAAACAACAAATGAGTATTTTAATGCTCTACCAAATGATAGTGTAAAATGCTCTACAAAATTAACATAAAACATGAAAATCGCAGTTGATTTATAAAATAAGATAAATAGAAAAATTCGTAGAGTTCGAAAGTATTTCAAAGTATTTGTATTTATAATCAAATTTTTTTTTTGCCGAGTATTCAAGTACGTATTTTAAATACATTTCAAAATAAGTAATTGTATCTGTACTTTAATACTTTTAAAAAGTATCTTTTACAAGACTGCACGGTGATAGTGAAAGTGATCCCCTTCAAGCGAGTGAAAATTAATGGGGACAGATGGGGTGTGAATTATATGTTAACTACTCTCCGATTTGTGTCTATCGAATTAGGAAAGGCATTCGTAGAAACATACATTTCGACCAAGCCCAACTAGAGCACTAAAACAGACCGAATTCGAATAGTATCGACCTTCGTTCGCCAAATAGTAAAAAATACTTGAATTTCGATTTGTTGCATTTTACGGTTCCGTCTAGAAATCTATATTCAGTCATTTATACATTTACACACCACTATATCTATATTTTAGTATCACACACTGTGATCGATAAGAATTTCAGAATTTTTTTTTTTTGTCGTGAGGGCGCAATTGCTGTGTCTTCACATGTTGTCGTGCAAGTTCTAGTAAGTTGTATTTAAAACTTGACGTTGGTACTATAATAATTGTTATTACAGACACATATTACTGTCGTAAATTAGTGCCCACTGTTTGCACAGGCGCACGTTATTAAACTCGTATGGCACGTGCTTGGGGTAAACAGTGGTGCGATTTTCTCACCAGTTTGTCTGTCATTCTTGTGATTATATGTTTACATTGCAGTCTAAACGCCCATGCCTTTTCGTCAGAATTAACGCTTGTCGGTATCTACCTCCATACGTTTCGACGCGTTCGCCCATAATGATAAATGGACGCGCAAGTTACCGGATCGACGGACCGCGACTTAACCTTATATAATATACCTAAGTACCGTGTTGTCTGTGTACCTATCAGCTGTCGAAAACTGCCCCGTGGTTGTGACGAACTATATTTAGACCGTGCACGATCGCGATCGGATACTTTCATTACACTTTCTAATGCTCCTGTTCGCATAAATAAATATTAAAATATAATTTATCATTATCTCGGATGGGTACGCCTTCGATCTTGCAGGACATGCATCAAACAGCACGGTGATCGAAGTTCCGTAGTGGCGCAATAATCACGTGATTTTTTCTGATCCTTTTGAAAGGTCTCATAAGATACTACAAAAGTAAATCCCTGAATCCCTGGCATTACCTACAGTCATAGACATTGATTTCTGCACTCTATTCAAACCAAACGGAGCTGAACAGATTGAAATTAACTGGATAAAGTGCAGTACTACTTGTGATTCATAAGTGTCTATACGATGTAGCCATACCAACTAACTTATTCTCTGGCTCAAATATTTAAAAATAACACATTTTATCTGTGTTTTAAAAAATATTAAATGTGGTTCTATTATTTTACATGTTGGTTTAACAGTAGCAATACAAAATTTTTGACAAATTAAATATTTATTGAACTATGTATTTTCAATACAAAATTATTACTTTTTTTGGCAATAAACAATACGTGGGATACATACTATGTTGTTAAAAAATGTTTTATCATTAGCTCTGGTAAACCAAATTAAAAATAAAAATTGTCTTTTCCGAATAAAATGTTTTTTAAAAAAATTATTACAACTTATGGACGTGAATAATTATTTTGTTTGCCGATTTTTAATATTACATGTAAATAACTAAAAATGTTTTGTTCTTCCGTAACAATTAGCGATGTTGCTTTAATCAAGTACCATGAAGTATTTAATATTAATTACTTTGAAATTATAATGTATCTATAATAATTATAATGTGCCTACTAGGTGTTTATTATTCATAAAAAAATATAAAATGTACATATTAGGACCCCAACAGTCGATCGCCACCTACGGAAATATTAATAAAACATTTTTTGAAAATAGTGGGATAATTCATATTATATTTTATAGTATTTGCGACCAACACTTTTCACTGCAACATGCGGTTCTTTGACTGAGTCTATGTATTTCAATTGATCGAACGATCATGAGATCCGATACGCATTTTTGATTTCAACTTTTATAGATCTTAGGGTAATTTTCTTGTCCCACACATGTCTGCAATCAGTCATAAATCGTGTAAAAAAAAACGTACATAATATTAGGCAAGTAGGTACATGAAAGTCACATATAATATACGTTGAACTCGCGGGAAAACGGGAAATTACAATGGGACCATCACTCTATCTAATACCATAACATTTGTTTTCCGTACTACATAATAAATAATAATAATGATTGTAATTTTTGTCGCATAGGTCGTAAGAAGAAGGACAAGGGTATGCAACAAGCCATGATGATGGCCGGTATGACGGCTGCCGCTGTAATGGGACCGATGGCATTAAAAATCATCGCTTTAATCGCAGTCAAGGCACTGTTGATTAGCAAAATCGCATTGGTCCTCTCCGGCATTATGGTACTCAAGAAACTTATGCAGCCCCAACAGGGAGGTGGTGGTCACGAAACCGAATCACCGTCGCATCATTACGGCCGGAGCCTGCAACTCGAAGGCGCTGCTCACCAAATGGCTTACTCGGGACAAAAGCAATAACAACCATCGCTGCGTTCTTATTAATTTATTATTTATTTATTTCGTGTACTTAAGCTATAATAGTTATACTTTTTTACTATTCTTAATTTGTCATGTAATATTTTGTTTATGAGACTATTCGTCTGAATAACGGAAATAACGTCTGAATTGTATTGAAGATTAATTTTCGATAAATTTTTAAGTATAGGTATTAATTTATAAACTTTTTTCTATTACCTACTGCAACTAAAATAAATCTGTTTTTAAATGCGATGATCAATTTTCACTTATTATTTATATTTCTTTATACTCTTCTGTCTCTCGGCTAAACATTTTGGAATAGGACAGCAGCGAGATATATCCTTAATTCCTTAAGAGGATGTTCGCACTATTCGTTTTCTCTCGCTCTATCCCAAGCATACCATTGCAAAATGTCCGTCCAGTAGAACCAAATGTGTGATGTTATTTTCATCATTCCTACATGAATCCAACAAATACGTTGAAAAATAAAACAGTTAGTATTTCGTCGCACCGAACGCATCGTACCGCGACGGGGCATGGTCACAATAAAAATCGCACTCGCCGCATTTAAGTAAACACTGTTAGAATGAATTGACTTGACCAATTAAATTTGAAGTTAAGAAAATTATTTTTGGTTGTAGTACAAACTTTGTAAGTTATATTTTAATATTGAAGTGATATTATACATGCGTATTTTATTATTTTAAAATTATAATAAATTACATAATTACCCATAACTTGCATAAAATTAAAACATCGTGAATATATTCCGCCAAATAAACTTATAGATAATGTTCTTAACTTTGAGTAGGTCAGTTCACTATATTACTCAAAGAAAAATCACAGAGTTAGCTCTACTGAACGAAAAATTGCTATGTCGTGAGTGAGTCGGAGAGAGGAAACAAATAGTTGGTGGATACCTTTTAAGACATTTTCAACATGTGGGTATACATTTTCACACCAATACTATTTATCTAGAATATTGTGGAATACATTTTAATTATTGTGTCAGGAAAGTTATCGCTATTATAGGCAATGACAATAAAAAAATTACAAAAATGCATTAGAAAATGTCGTGTGTAAAAATCGTTTTTGTAGTAGTTTTGTATTTAGATAGTAGACGTCTCGATTATTTGATAATAATCAATTATGAAAACAAGTAATTCGCTGATTTAATAACTCTGCGCATGACGCATGTTGATGCTGTATTATGACTTGTGGACAGCCAATTTTTGTTCTTCTCAGAAATTGGTTTAAATTGTTTTGAACGTATTTGATACAAATAATCGACTTATCAATCATAAAACAAGAATCTGTTGTGGCACACTCGCGTAGTCACGTGCAAGCGTCGGTTTTTTCTGCTCGACAGTCTTTACGGGGCCAATTTCTTACCACAGTATCAATAATTATTTCAAATAAAATACAAATATTTAAAAAAAAAATTCAACTCAAAGCCCACGCTCTATGAACCTCTTCCTCTAAACATCACTGGCTCTTTCGCTGAATCATCTGCCTGGACTCCATGCTTTTTATTATCTTGTTTAAATATAATTCCCACTGCACTACTATATATAAACTTAAGTAGGTATAATCAAATATTTGCTAACAGCGGTCTGTAGTTTAATATATGAAAATCATATAGACACTAGGACGAGTGTATACATTTTCAGCAGTTTTATATTAGTGCGTTAATAATTAATAAACTCATTACTCCCGTTTCTACGGTAACATTACTCGAATTCGTACCTATCGTTTTGCAAAACGAACTATGGTGTATTTCGTTACATAAAATTTCAACTACAGTTTATCTTTTGACAATAATTAATCTGAAACTTTATATTTATTATCGTTAGTCCCAGCTGGAAAAATTTGTGCCAGCATCGCCAATGGTTAGCCGTGCTAACTGCAGCCAGTACGAAGACGCTGCGGTAAGCGACTACGGTAAGAATTCCATTTGGGGTTGCAGTTCGTTGTTCTGGAACCTAGACTCCGATCCACCACACGCCAGTAAGTTTCTTAATCGCCGGTTACTGAATCCTCCACCCATCGGAAAAAACTGTACCGTTTACAAAAGTTTATCATCGAAGTACGGCACGAAACCCACTCACCAAAACCATACGAAAAAAGTAATCCAGGAACCACTGCAGAACACCAATATAATGGACAATTGTGGTGGATCTCAATTCAGCCGCAAATACTTATCGGCGGTCAAACGACTTGACGAAATAGTAGCCACGAGTGGTAAATGTTTACAATACAATTTGCTCTCTACAGCGGGACTCATGCCATGCATGGTCTATACGTATAATGCCATATGCGGAGATATGGAAACCTGCGGTTGCGGTTCGTCAGTAGATGAAGCAATAGAAGACGCGGCGACCAAAATGTTGGATAAGATTTCATCTAACCCTTTACAAGATGATGACTATTCACTGAGTTCAATGAATTCATTAAGGCACGAGAGTAAATTTAATGTGAAATCTAACAACTACATTGGTAAACTGCAAGAGTATTGTCAAGCGCATGGTTTGGATATACCAAAATATGAATACCATCAAGATAATGACATTAAAAACAAGAGGTATATGCACTCAGTTATATGTTCCACTGGGCCCTACAAAAGCACGGGAGTAGGAATATCCAAGCAAATTGCAAAAAATCATTCCGCTCGTTTGACGTATAATCAAATTAATTCGTATGATACTATGATCAATTGGACTTCAGCGTCGGATGCCAGAAAGGAGAAACCAATAGATTTCGGTCAAGGTTTGTCGACAAATGACTCCAAAAACGACGCTGTAAACATAGCTTTAGACCATATCTACCACGGAAGAAACGAAATCACAATGTCTACCAATTATGTTGGTACACTCCAAGAAAAGTGTTCAGCTAATGGTTGGGAACTGCCAAAATATGAATTCCATCAAGAACATTCTAAAGAAATCAATAAGTTATTTTATTCCGTGATATGTACCGCAGGGCCCCACAAATCCAGAGGTATTGGTAATTCTAAGCAAATTGCAAAAAATCAAGCCGCTAAATTTGTGTATGACCAAATTAATTCGGATCAACAGAAAACCTCTACACTTCATACCAATTTCACACGTGATAAAGCTAAGAAGTCGAACACGAGAAATATGAGAGATTTCGATCCTTATGAATCAATTCACCAATTTAAATTATGGTGTAACCAATTATCATCGTCTAATAAAGAATGCGTGCAAATACTAAAGAGATGCTATTCCTTGGATTTCCTCGAAATTGATATACGTCCGTTTGAATTTTTGACAAAACTTGCAAAACAAGAAAACTTTTGTGCCACATACGTACGGTGTTCTGATAATATTAATGGAGCAAAAGCTTATGGAATAATTAATATACCAGTAACAACTAAAAATGTCATAATGTTCATAGGTGATGGAAAAACAGAAGCTGAGGCTCAAAACTCGATTGCCAAAAAAATATTAGATTTCATCAAAAATAATATTAAAACGGCATGAAATACATTATATGTATCATTCAATAAATGTTTTTTGTTAAATAATAATAAATACCTTGATAATATGTTGTTTTTTGTTAGCTGACTAGTCAAGTCCTCAAGATTACTCAAATATTAAATTGTAATATCATAATAGTACAAACATAATATAATAAGTAGATAGTAATAACATGGCATCGGTATTGAAGTCATACAAATATTGCCTTCAAACGGTTAGTTATTTTAACTAAAATATTTTAATTTTTTGTCAATCACACCGATGGAACTAGTAATGTGATTATTACATTTTGGAAAAATTGATTTGAATTTAGTATTATATGTCTATTTAAAACCGGCCATACCGTTATTTTTAAATTTTTTTTGAATATTTAAAACGTTGATTATTCTAAATTGAAATTAAAAACCTTAACATTTGTCTGATCCATCTCAATTAGACATATTAACGAATTCGAATCAGCTTTCAGAAATCGTATGGCTTTATCAGGTTTATAGGTAGGATTGATTAAGTGTACATGTACAAATGACTAATGAGCATATCTCACTCGACGCCGAAGTGGTAGGTGGTAATTTGTACAGTTAACGCGCGTGCTGAAGTGATCCCCTATTTATTTTAGACTACATTTGTCATTTACACACATGGATGATCACATACTATACGTACACATTTACAAGACCAACATTCATGTCATAAGAAAATAACATAACATATTTAACTCATTAAAAACTGTTCATTTGCAATCCCCTTAACATATTAATAGTAGGTACCCATAGATACATTTGAAAAGGTTCCAAATTTATGAGCGGCCAATTTGTATGGATATCTTATCAAAAATATACTAAATCCACTGAAGTATAGTGTTTCACTGCTCTACCAAAAAATTAAATAACAAGAAGTATCCAAAATAAATAATAAACCAAAAACTGTAAGACAGATTTATTTACCGCTACTATTAAAACATAAAATGTTTTTAAAAAAAATGAAGATATCAGTGATTTAAATATATTAATGAGACCATATAAATGCTTTTCTGATCAATAAACTAATCTCGAATATATGGCCATATATATAGGACCCACATTATTGGTAATGTAATAGATAGGTACAATAGATAATTGTGAGTCACTCTTATCAGCCAAAACCAATCTATTTTTTGTGCCACTATATTTATTAACTTTTTGACCGATTTAACAAATATAGTCCCTTTTGGCCTCTTCGGCAGGTGAGTAAACTTCAATAAAATATACTAACTGAACCACATAAACATAGGGACCTTATATGAAAATTTCACAGTTTCATTTTTGTAAGCTTGAATTAATGTAAAACCGTCAAAACGGTTAGAAGAGGCAAGGCATGAAAAAAAATATAGTCTGTTATTAAAATAAAGTATCCCAAAATAATTATTAATAATATGGTGGTAATTTAGAAAAATAATTATTTTTGTCGAAATTATTAAAGTATAAAAATATATTATAATGTTCATAGAAGCGTGGTAGTACTTATACCTAGATACATATTAACACATACTTGTATCATCCAAAAGTGAAAATTATATATTTATAAATTATAATTTGATAAAATGGCCATCTCTCAAATGGAAATACCGTGCTTAATATTTAATATTGAATCTCGGTATTATCCACTTGGACTATAGTCCTAACCCAAGGTTTTATAGATAATTTAAATGACAAACTATATTATTATACAATATTTTTTTATTATATTATTAATAACATTTATATTAAAGAATTAATTAATTTAATAAGATAGATTTAAAACACTGGTATATAAAAAACTATCTGTGTTTGATGTTTGATAACAACATATAATTTTAAATTTAAGATATAATATGTAATAATACATAAATTAATAGATATCGGATATCCGTTGTATCTAGTTAAGTACAATATGTAAAAAGATGTTCTTACGAGTTTTAAATTGTACTTTGCTTATACAACGAATAAACTTAATACAATTTTAAAACTGTCATTGTTTATTCACAAACTAAATCATGTTCCAGATGAAATATCAAGCCTTATATCATAATTTTTAGGTATTTTTTTTTTTTTTTTATTGATCTTAAGCTTCGGCAACTGAGGCCATTAGCTGTAGTAGAATTTGTATTGTAGGTTTGTATTGTATATTTTTTGGGACGGTAGGGGGGAACACGTGTGTGTTTGTTTTTGGCAGAATTTCGAATGGGGCACCCGTAGGTTTCTGCCATGCCCCGGGGGTGGGGGATGGCAGCACTTGTTCTCCGGTCACCGCGACTTGTCCGGAGAAAAATGCCGCCCGGTAGCCGAGGATCGAACCGCGACCGGCTGCGTCGCAGCGGACGCGTCAGACCACTCGGTCACCTCATCCCCTTTTAGGTATTATGACAACATCATAAACATCATCTATGTACAATTGTATTACCTACTCATATAGATAGGTACTATACATTTTGTTAAAAGGAACTTAAAAACAAATAATAAAATAAAATAGTATGTATTAAAAATTAAAATCTCTCATTAAAAACATTCAATTACCTACCTACACTCATACATTTTTAACATTTTCAAAATTGAATTTGATATCGAGTCTATTGTTCACTAAATAATTTAACTAATTTAAGGTGTTAACTGTAAAGTGAAAGCATTTTCTATTATAATTTTATATTTAGTGTAGCATATTAAGACACAAAAAATAAAATATAATTATAAAATTTTAAAAATTATTTGTAGTTCTTACTATTTGAGTACTTTACCTACTCTTTACATAATTAATTAAATTTTACAATATAATAGTCGCTACATTACAAAGCATTTAGCTCTAGTCCCCGTACTGAGTAAAAGTTAATTGCGGTTATAATAAATCTGTATTAATGTCTCACGTATAAAATGTTTTAACTTAGAATTATACATCAAAATATTAAAAACAAACTAAGTTATAACTTTTAAATGTTAAATATTAAGTCATACAATTTTTAATTGTATATTAATAATCAATCATTATAATGTATTTTTATTATTGAAATTAACAATTTTTTTAATTTTCCAAAAAGCTTAAGAATTTCAAATGTTTTTGAAATTGGTTTGAAGAGAAATAGCTATACCCTAAACATTTTTTACTATCTGAAAACATGGAAATAATTTTGCAGTCGAATATGAATACAATTTTTAATTTAAATAACTAAGGAATGATTAAATATCTGACACAAGTACTGTACTCCTTAAGTTTTCTGATGGAAACCCAAAAATAATCTTAAAAATACAAAAATGACCAATTGTTTTTTATAGATATTTCAAGTTACAATAACAGAAATGTAGAAATTGGATACGCAACATGACGATTTTAGTCATATTGTTGTAATTTAAAAAATATTATTTATATTGACTTAAAACTTTTCGTTACTGTGTATGTTATATTATATTTACTATACACAATGACATTTTAAAAATATTTAAAAAAGATTAATTTTTACCTTGTTATACAACGAAAATATTTAAAACCTATACACTGTTCTATGGATCGTCGGTATTGATTTATATAAGATAACAGTAAATAATATTACCTAAATTAAATTGTATTATAATATTTACAATAATGAATAAAGTATATGCGATTTGTTTTTAGCGAAAATTAGTAAAACGTAAAAAATAATTAAATATAAAATGGTATAGGCATAATAAAATGTATTGGTGCAGATATTTGTGCTCCGCTCGCAATCGTTTTTCGTAGGTTAGGTACCTAAGAAGGTGACCTACACCTACTCAATGACGACTGACGAGATATACTTACTCAGCAGAACAATTTTGGAGGATTTTACTTTTATCTCTCCCTCCCCCCACTTAAAAAAGGAGTAAACCCAAAATCCAATTTCCAACCAGAAACCATACTCACACCGTAAAGACCGACACAAAAAAAATTCACGTTTCATTGTAAACTCAATTTAATCTGTTTATAGAGTTTTTATTATTTTTATTTTTTATCTATAAACTATAATTTTTAAAAATAATTTCAAAAACTAACATAATCATTGAAAATATGAATTCACAAATATTCAGTATTCACTTCTTATTTTGTTCACAACATAGGAACTCTGCAGTATGATTCAATTTACTTATATATATATAGGTGCCTATAAATAATAATTTTAATGTTCGGTACTAAATCAATCACCAATCTCCAATTCAAATCAAGTTCAGAAAAAAATATGTTATTCGATCACAATTCAGAAAAATATTTAAAAATGTGTAATATGAAAAACAGTAAAACTTCAAACACGATAAAATCGTTTTCGGTGAATTAATTTTGTTTCGGCTGTTTTAAGAAAATGCAATTTAATTTCAATGACTTGAAATTATTATTATACTATTTTTAAAATTATATTTGAAAGTCTCAAGATTTACTTTTAAATTTGATTATATGAGCACTTAAACTTAGTAAACCCTAACTTTATCAGTTTATCTTAGTTAGACATAATGGAACTATTTTTCGAATGCGACGATTTTTTCATTACTCATGACTTTCAAATTTAAAATAATTGGCGTTGCCTTTGCCCCGAGCTCTCGTTACTCACGTCACTCAATATATTATATGACGAACATAAAAGTATGATTAGTTCTACTCCTGCCTCCATTTAAACACTTACAAATAATAGACACAAATTATTTAAGTGTTATTGTTGGTGAAAAAAAAATTGTATGAAAAACTCAGTACATTTGAATTATTCTTTTTTAGACATAGATCTGCCTAAAATGAGTGTATGTTGATGATTAATGCGTGTAAAAGTAAGTTATGTTAAGTTAAAATACTTTTTAAAGTACAATAATAAAGAATCAATATCATGAGTATAGGTAAATACACTCGGAAACCAGTAGAACGTATGGAGATAAGAAATAGTGATCGGTTTAGATTACCTAAGATTTAAATTTTCAAGCCTATTATTAATATAATATTATAGTATTTTAAAAAACTATACAAAACATAAATAT